CCCTCCATCCTCACACGCCCAGAAACAGCTTGACTGAGTGAAATCTGCAGCTGAGCAGCTCCAGAAAGCATCCCATAATTCACTGGGGCAGAAATAGGAATGCCTGCATCACAGCCTGTCATGTGATCGTGTATAAATCAGTGATGCTGTAACACAGCGGTCCCCGGGCCTCGGACCGGTACCGGTCCGTGAGTCGTGAGACTGGGGTGTGAAATGTCTGGTTTTCAGGGTTTTTATCGTTTTTATCGTTTACTCGGTTTTCCTGGGTCTTTTCACGTGTGTTATGAATAAATCTTCTTTATTTCTGTACCGGTACTAGTTTGATTTTGTTGTATTTATCCGCGACACCTTAAAGGCCGGTCAGTAAAAATCTTGTCAGGCATGAACCGGTCCGTGGCGCAAAAAAGGCTGGAGACCACTGATGTAACAGCTGTGAGATTATTGATCAGATATGTGGACTTCTCCTCAGGGACAAAACGGAAGACGGGGACGACTGGGTGACCAGGTAGGACACTGTGTGTGTGTGTGTGTGTGTGTGTGTGTGTGTGTGTGTGTGTGTGTGTGCAGGTTTAGGCATCTTTGTGAGGACAGAAAATTGGCGTGCCACTGTACCTGTGGGGACCAAACGTCCTCACGGGCTTGAAGACATTTTTACGCTCAAAATGTTGTTTCAGTGTCAGGGTTACAGTCCACTAGATGTCCTCACTAAGACATGAAAACGAGAGTGTGTGTGTTGTCTGCAGGGTGCAGCTGGACCACCTGGAGATCTGGGACCTGAAGGCAGCCCAGGTGGTTCTGGTCCACAGGTGAGCCTTCAGGGCAGGAAGAGTCACACTTAATGTGCGCATGCTGCTGCTGCTAACACGCTAACCTTCGTCTCTGCAGGGTCCCGGAGGGGTCAGAAGTCAGCCTGGCCCGAGAGGAATCCCCGGCCTTCCTGGACCTCAGGTCAGCTGATCATTTATTGAAAAAGTTGATTTTCATTGTCTTGCTATGGCTGCAGCCATCTCCTCGAGCTGTGAGGTGAACACAGAGTCACCACGGGAGCAGCGAAATGAGAAGAGGAGCAGACTGATTGGTGGATGGTTTCATGGTTTCATGGTTTCATGGTTTCATGGTTTCATGGTTAGGGTTCAGGTGCTCATTCCTGAAGCTCGGCTCCCCGCTGCTGCTGGAGCTTCAGTCTGAGGAGGAGCTGCTGCAAACGCCGATGAAACGTTTGATGTTCTTGCATCACATTTGGTAAAGTTGCAGATCAGCCTGGTGGGATCAGCTGGCTCTGGGACTGTTGTTCAATCTGGAAGTTTAGATTTCCCTCATGACGGCTTTGTGGTAGAAACGTCTCGTTTCAGCAGTTTGCACCTTAAACAGTGGATGTGTGTTCAGCTTCTCCCAAAGACCCTGAACCGTGGAGTCTGCTCATCATGACAACCTGAACCTGGATCTGCCCTTCATTACACAAACACACTTATGAAAGCTGCAGAATCACGAGCTGCAACACAGAAACGGTCGATTTCCAAATCCACGGCCTGGTTTGTGAGTCTCTGGAGACGCTGAGGTTTTCGTTTCTTCATCCTCGTTAAGGCTCGTTTCGCTGTGGGCTCATTTTGTGGTCGTCACATTTGACGCCTTCATCGCTGCGTTTCATAAATCCCGAGTGTGACGTCGCTGCTGCAGCTGCCAACATCTGGACCTCTGCGGTCTGGGCCGATCTTCCCTGAAGCTTCTGTCACGTCGTCACTTTAGAACCTGCACATCTTAAAAAAGTCCTCTCGTTAAATGCTCGTTGGTGACACATAAGTGTCCCAAAGCTTTACATAGGAACTATTTTCTTCCAGCGTATACATCCGCCAACCAAAAGAGTCTACAGCTTAGCGCCTGCTTACTCATCGATATATTCATTCATTTCTGATGAGCTGAGTGGTCAGTAAGAGAGAACAATGCAAATGCCAGGAAGATGCACAATAATGTAACAGAACAGAACAAATATAACAAAGAGTGAAACACGTTTTATGTGTAACCAGGTCCTGCAAAGACGCTGCTGCTGAGATGAAGAATGTAATTTTCGGTACTTTGAGCTGTGCGGTCTGTTATTTAACAAAGCCGTCGTCCGTACAGCCGGACACAGCCGGACACAGCCGGAGGCACCGACGCAGACGTTTGAACAAGCGGCCTGTCCCCACAGCGCCACGAGTCTGTGACCGTTCAGCGTCAGAGGAAACTTTAAACAGAACTGATCCAAGTTTAGTCTGGAGGCAGCTGTCGCTGTGTTTGCTTCGATCACCGCGTCGCTCAGCCATCGAAAACACCGACAGACAGGTCGAGTTCGGCCCAGAGCAACGTCTGCTCGACTCGTTCAAACGCAGCGTCTCAGTCTCAGCTTTAACTCTTTTACCAGACGCTCAGTCCTGAGCTGCTGTTAGAAAGTCCAAAGAGGAAATCTCATAAAAAGTCAGTGAGGAGCTGCCGAGCGGAGATTTGGGACCAATGAAGCTCAGATTTATCACTTGGCAGCTCGGCGGCGTCCATGTTTACTCTTCACCTGTTTGGATAAGCGCCGTTAAAGTTGATAACGAGCGGAGATTTATGTGAGGCTCTGTGACCGACGGCAGTTTTCTACTGTCCGCGGTGCATTCAGGGATAATCAGGTAAAAGGGAACTGTGTGTGGCTCTGACTCTGCTGGTTTTTCCTCCAGGGTGGACCAGGTCCCGCTGGAGACCCGGGATTACCTGGACGGATCGGTGGTAACGGACAGAAGGTGTGTGACATCATCGTTTAACATCTGATAAACAATCGTCCCGCTTCACATCAGATAAGATCACATTCATGAGATTAGCTGACGAATACTCCACGAGGTCAGATGAAGAGATTACAGGGGGCAGGAAGTTCATGCACGTACATCCATACAGGGTACATGGGGGGGCGTGGCCACCACAATGTCATCAGCTTTAATGGTGAAGCCTCCAGGTTAGCCTTCTAACCACAGTTATTGGTTAATGCCAGCTGGCCTGGTTATCAGTCTGAACCCACACGTGTAGAGCCAGTGGGGGGTTAATCCAGTTGGTGTGAAGGGGGAGGTTATCTTCACCATGACAACCTGTTGTTGCTGTTAAAGGGCCAACCAGGAGATCCCGGTGATAAGGGCGCACCGGGACCAGACGGACCCCGAGGAATGCCGGTAAGGAGCCGCGAGCCTGCTCTGTTCAGATACAGTTTGATTGGATGTCAGTGGCGCTGACTGTCTGTGTTTCAGGGTCAGGACGGTCGGGATGGTTACGGAGCCGCGGGACCCCGAGGTGCAAAGGTGACCCTTCATAACACACCGTCGTGCTAGATCTCTGCTTCACATTCACAACAATGTTCACAGTTATGAGGATTTCTTGGCGTCTCTTGCAGGGCGATCCCGGTTTCCCTGGTTACCCCGGTCTTCGGGTGAGTTCACAGCAGATCAGGTTGAATCCATCCTGGCATTAAATCGCAGTAAACACACAGACAGGAAATGAAGGCGGCGTGCTGGGAACGGATCAGAAACAAGTTAGGATCCAAACATCGGAGCGGGCTGCGGAAACGTTTTCAGGCTAACAGAAGTCCACCGAGTTCAGGAGCTCACAGAGCTCGATGCTGCGAACACAAAATAATCTGTGATTCACGTCTGAGCTGAGCAGAAACACCTGCAGGTGTAACACTGATGTGTGATTCTGCTGCTCGCTCTGAGAGCGACGCAGTGAAGTCGGCCTTTTGCTCTCTCACATCATTCAAACGGACGCAAACAGCAGGTGCTGCTCGTGGCGCGGACCAATCAGAATGGACCTGTGAGCTCAGCGGGTTCAGAGGTTTCACTGCAAACGTATCAAAGCTGCACTGAAACTGAAACTTCGAATATTCAGACGGTAGCACAGAAACACTGTTCAGGATGTTTCCACAACGGTCCAATTACGACTGTTTCTCTGTTAGTAGCCAAGAAACTTTAATGTTTGCGGTCAAATAAACTTTTATTTCTGCTGTTGGACGTGTTGAGGTGGGAGTCTGTGGGCTGGACCGCCTGCTGGAGCCTCTGCTGGTGCTGCATGGTTGCAGCCAGGACTTTAACCTGTTACTGCTCCTGTAAAACGAATACAAGCCTGCCAACACTGGTGGCTCATAAACACCTCGCCGTGCTGCCTGCAGCTTTCTTTTCACACATTCATACAACAAAAGGTTGACAGCAGAGCATCACTGAGCTGTCACAGCTTTGTGTTAAAGTCGACTGGATCCTTTTCAAGGATTTATAAAAGACAGGCCGCCTGAATAAATAAATTTCAGTTTTACTCGCTGGTGTTTGTCCAGAAGCTTTTGGAGGCCGGAGATAAGAACGCTTGTTTATTCTTGGGATGAGTGTGGTCAGGAAGTTGACTTGAGGGCTTGTTTGGATTTGTCAGAGATGCGTTACCTCACGAGCCGTGTTTCTTTCTCTGCAGGGCGAGGAGGGGCTGCAGGGACCGAAAGGATATCCAGGGCCCAAAGGGAACCGCGGCCGGGGGGTGAGAGTCCACTGCTCAGATGACTGAATCAAGCTCGGTCTTTGAGTCCGTCACTGACGTTTGTTTGTGATCCGGTCACGTAGGGTAACGCTGGTTTGCCGGGAGGGTCGGGAGTCCCCGGAGAACCGGGATATCCGGGACACAGGGTGAGTGTGGAAAAGCTTTAGAAAGCTGCCGACTTCACGCTGCACAAACTGAGCGCCTGGAGCCAGAAAGATCACTGGATGTGGATTCATTTATAAGAAAACTTTAGTTTTCCTCTAAATCGATTTCGTCCTCTCTTACAACGATAAAGGAAAATGTATTTTTTACCCAAACTTAACTCTAACGGTTAGTTTAAACAGGCGCAGAGGTATTTCTGTCCTTTACAGAGCTCACGCAGCGTTTGGCTGTAGCTCAGGTCACCTACTAACCAAACGTTGGTGGTTCAGTCCTCGTCTGCTCCGCTCTGCAGGCCAAATATCCGTGTGCAAGATTCTAACCCCAAGCTGCTCTCTGGTGCTTCCATCGGAGTGCAAATGTTTGATAAAAGACTTTAAACGAAAGGGTGAATGAGGCAAAATGTGTCAAGATCTTCGTTTGTTTGATGTCATCAAATGTGAGGAACATTCTTCTGTCATGTTAGTCAGATATCACACTGTTCGCAGGGCCCCCGAGGTTCTCCTGGAGGCAAAGCCATGACTGTAAGTCCACCTTAAACCCACCTCAGCCACATTAAGGAAACATTAGTACAGGATGTAATCACAGGTCTTTCCTTTTGACTCAGGACTGTCAGCTGATCACCTACATCAGGGACAACTGTGGTAAGACTTCCTGACATCCTCACATCATCTCAGGAAATGAAACCTGCACGTGTCTAAATGCTGTTTGTTCTCCCTCCAGTTTGCTCTGCTGGTACGTGTCTCCACTCTAACAGTCAGGTATCGTGGTGAGTACGGCTCAGCAGCAGTGTCCACAGACTGGATCAAAGATGGACGCAGCTGCACTCAGATTCAGCACAGTGTTGTTGTTGTGATTCTTCTCCTCAGGATTTTTCCTCATTTATTGCTGTCGTTAGTGTCCGGATGGTGAAAAAGGTTTTCTTAACCTCCTCGGACCTGCGTCCACATGTGTGGACATCACATTTTGGGACGTCTAGACGAAAATAATTAATTTTTCTCAACAAGGCCCTGATATCCAGTTACGAGGACATTATACTGCCACTGTTCTATCAAACTTTAAAACCAATGTCCTCACATGTGGCTCTTATTTGTCTCAGAAACAAAAATTAGGTTAAAAAAAAAATCTGGTAATTCTTTGTTTTTACAGTCATCGGATCCCAATCAGCCCAAATATCAAAGAGAAGTTTAAAATGCTGCCATGAAAGAGTTTTGGTCTTAGGAGGTTAAAATAATTCTAAGAATGTATGAAAGCTACAAACAAAAGAAGTTTCCGACCATCTGGATGAAACATCGAATCTTCTGGTGTTTGGTGAGTCTGTGGATCTAAAGCATGTGTGGGTCCGTGCAGATGTGTGGGTCCGTGCAGATGTGTGGGTCCGTGCAGATGTGTGGGTCCGTGCAGATGTGTGGGTCCGTGCGGATGTGTGGTTTCCGTGCAGATGCGTGGGTCCGTGTGGGTCCTGTGCAGATGCGTGGGTCCGTGTGGGTCCCGTGCAGATGCGTGGGTCCCGTGCAGATG